GCGTCAGTAAGGGGTTCTATGGTAGAAGGACCCTTACGAAAGCCATATTGACTAGCGGAGAGACTGTTGTGTTGTCTCTAAATACCACATTTAAACGTCGATTTACGAGACGTTCCATTTCACTTTGCAAACTGCACTAGTTAAGAGCGATGGGGCGATAGTGGGCAGGCATCATGTCCTGTTAGTACCCGGTTTGCGGAAAAGGAGAACATGGAGATTTCCACAGCTGGGGAAGAACTCCTTGTGCCCAAAATAAGATGAAGACGTTAGTAAGAGGACTACAAAGGCCCTGCGATGTAAATGTTGTAACATTACGAATATGAATGTCGTCAGGCCCAGTGCCCAATGATCGGCAAGCTGAGAGCGTTGCCCCCCAGTTCTTGAAGTGTAAAGGCACATTATATGTTCTTCTCTGAGAGAAGAAAAGTCCAAGGGCACTAACTCTCTGGCAGACTTTGAGAAAGAAACGAGGGGCATAGATGGAGCCTCGGGAAATACGGACCAGATGTGTGCCAAGTTCAATGGCAACGTCGAGAGGGTTTTGCTACATCAACACCAGCCGAACCATAGGACAGGAGCTGGAGTCCAGGAGAGGATTTACACTCAATTTCCTCACTTTTTTCCAGACGGCACTCATAGAAGAAGCAGAGGGTGTGATGGTGGGAAAACATAGTCTCGCCAACAAGTGCGTTTAGCTTCACGGAGACACGGCGAGCGATCGCACGCTTCTGCCCTTAAAATCAAGAAGTCTCTCAAGCGGTTCTATTGTACGGTACCTCCCCCATGCAGCACACGTTTCAAACGTACGCACGAGCACACGCGGGAGAACCCAAGGCACGCATTCTGAGAATGCCTGCCTGAGGTTTGGGATATAGAATGAGAAGTGCGTGTATAAACTGAAGTCGAGATGAAGTGTGTAGGAAGCTCATCAATGGAGGATGAAGAAGGCACTCACTAAATAGCAGTGAGGTGTGAGTAAAGATCCGAATTTGCCCCGATCAAATTGCCAGTGAAGGGCACCCGGCTACGGAAATGTGGTGAATAGGAGGAGAAGTAGAATGATCGAAAAGGATCGCTGTCTGTAAAAGTCTGGTAGAACAAAACAAGGTGAAGTTAGTGCAGTGAGGGAAGAGCAGACTGATAGATCGATGCAAGAGAGAGTTATGAGTACGAGAGAGATCCAAATGTGGTGGGAATACCCGTATTTAAAACATGCGAGGGTGAGGTGAGAGGCGAGAAAATCCTCCAAACTGAATTGCCCTCGTGAGTCACATTGGACTCACCCCCAGAGGAAAATGGTGGGCATTGAAATCACCAAGTAAACAGAAGTGGTGGTTGGTAAGGATGAAACAAGAAAAGGCATGAGTCTGGGATAGAAAATGCTCTCGAGAAGGAGAGAGATATAAGAACATATTGTAAACCACTTATTCTCAAGTGGGATACGGGCTGCAGTGTAATGCATCGAGGTATGTACAAATAAGTTTGACAGTCGGAATATCATTGCGTAGAAGAAGGGCACTTTAATTAAGTTCCCATCTGAGAAAGGATCGGAAGAATACAATAAATTATAGTTGAGATAGTTGGAAAAAAACAGCCCCGAGTGTATTTTGGTTCTTGTTAAGCAAGCACCAACAGGAAAACCTGGATGGAAAGCAACCATCTGATGCTCACCCCGATTACCCGAGGCTGCGGACTATTCCACTGTAAATAGGCCATGATTTGACGATGAAGAAATATTCAGGAATCTTGTATGTAAAGGGCACTACGGACTAGATGGGGTTAGAAAAGTCAACGTGTGGGTGGCATTGGAAGATGTTCAAGTAGTCGAAAGGGAACGGATGCGTTGCGAAGAATGGGGTTGTGAAGATGGAGGGAGAGGGAAGAGACAGGACAGGAAGTGAAATCGTGTCATCTGAGTTTAAGTCTCTGCAATATATCTGAAATGGCTTCAAGTGTTTCTGAATTCAAAGATGTATGGAGACATATTGGAGATTGGAGAGGAGGAGGGTGAGTAAAGATTGGGACAGCAGTAATTGGACTGTACCAAAGTAGAGGGGGAGGAAAAGTGTAAGGGACTGGAGATGAAGTGTGGGGGGCACATGAAGAAGGAGAAAACCTGGGAGGTGGCGAAGAGGGAGAAAAAACTTGGGAGGGGCGGGGGTTGGAAGGCATAGTACGAGGAGTGAGGGTGAATGAATCTCCACATTGTAACAGAGCCAGAGAGAGGGGAAGAACAGGTACAGAGACTGGAAAGTGTAACGTGTGGAGATGAAGAAGGGAAGGAAGGGGCCAAAGATGATTTGAGCAATGTGGATTTTTTGGGACTTCTGAGTAGAGGGGCGTTGGTATTAGGTGTCGTACGAGGTCTAGTCGATACTGTGGCTTGTGAGGAAGGACGCGAAGATGGGAGAACAGACTGAGTTGTAGTCGGGAAGTCAGAAGACCAAGGACAGCAAAAGGATTTAGATGCCGTTAGTGGCTATGGGAGTGGGTAACAACACGAGGAGGCTGCAGAAGATGGGACCCCAGAAGTGGGGGGTGTTTGGAACACGAGAATAAGAACACGGGGTAGTCTACCTTGGGGGCGGGGATGAGTAACTGCCATAGAATAAGGGAGACCTTTCTGTCCTCTTTGAGGCAACGGATTTTCACGTTCATTTTATGTGACCTGGCAACGGCGGGATGTACGTAGGGCGAGCTTCATTATAATTTAAGGCAAGATGGAGGTTGTATGTAAAGGACACAAGTGCAACTAATGCTTGATAAAGCTCCTGGAGAGCGAAACGTTGCCACAATAAATGTCACATTAGTTGCACTTGTGTCCTTATACTTTACATATTGTCGGTAATTCTACCAACTTTATTTACAAGATGGAGGGTTGACTGCAAGATTGTTATTAGATTGGTCGTCGGCACCACAGACTGGGCATTCGGCCATTAGATCTGAATATTCGCTGGGTGACCAAAATGCAAGCAATTTTACATTGATGCAGTGTATGGTATCCACCTTTCAAATTGTAACGATTGTCCCGCGACTTATACAGAGGACGGGGCGTTTCGGCTGTCAAAAGTTAAACGAGCCACATTGCAAGGTAACGTTCTCGCCCCCGGGCAGGAAGGACACAAGTGTCTACTTTGAGGATTCGGGAGATCCTGCGAAGTTCCGGCTGTTCAAAAATGTCATTGCCACATAAAACTGGAAATTCTGTTGGGGACTCTATGGTATGCGGGCAGGAATGACCAGTACACTACAAGTAATTGAGAAGAAAGATGTTTTTCAATTAGTGATAGTAGTAGTATCGTAGTTCAAAGGAGAGAATGATCATGTGCTTTGGGTAGCATTTGGACAGTGACGATGGCGGCGTACGCTCTTGAGAGCGTGATTGAAAGAAATATCTCGGCCAACATGACGCAGGAGCGCTTGCCAATACTATGGTCAGAAAATGTAGCAGAAGAAGAAGTTGGTCTTAAGTAAAGAATTTAGTCCATTGTGTGGTCCGAAACTGAGGCGTGGAGAGGGAGTGCTTGACGTGTCGGTCTTTTTCCAGTTAGAATGGGGAAGGTTACGAAGGAGCATCATCAGGTGAATTTGACGTGGCGTTTAGGAGTAGGACCGGAGTTGGTTTCCAGCAGGAAAATGGGCGGGCGATTCGAAAATTGCCCCGTACCGTAGAGGTAGAAGCCGGAAGCATAGTCAAAGGAGAGCGGAAGAGTTAGTTCAGACAATCGAAAGGAAGTCAGTCGAAGCCCCGGTCTGAAGTGGGTGAGAGAAACAGCACCAGCAAGAGGTACAGTGGGCATCAGGAGTGTCCAAAGAGTGGTCTAAACACCAAGGCAGGGTCAGGATTGGGTGTGCGGTATTTTTTCAAGAAGGGGACCGGGGGTAGTGGTTTCCTCGGGACTAGGGCTGCCATGGTTTTTTTTTGTTAAGGGTTACTCCTTTGCTTTTTGTTTTTAAGAAGAAAAAAAAAGAAAGAAAATAAAAATAAAAAAAAGAATAAAAAAAGGGGGGAGCGGGGAGGGATAGTTCCCAGGAGGAATGAAAGGGCCGGAAATCTCCCTCCGCGCCCAAGAGGACCTCAACACCGCTAGTAGCGCAGATGCAGCATGGACCTGTGCCATACCCCTACCCTTCATGCCAGTAAACCAGCATATCCGGGATAGCAACCTCACATCTGCCGAGCTACCTCGGTGGACAAAAGAGAGGGCGGCCGGATATCCGCCACAAAGCATACCTCCTTCAGCCACCACCCCCGGAATCCGAAAGGTGGCTTCCAGAGATACACCTGTCGCCCAAAAGACACCCAAAGCTACTCCGGGATACCGGAGAGGGATCGGGACATCCCCAGGCAATCCAGATTCCACGGCAAACTACGCCACCGCCAAGAACCTCAACGGAATGGGATGGACCCCGGTGTCCTTTCCCCTACCTAGGAACTAGCGCGCCTGTGGGAGAAATCACGAAGGCCAAAAAGAGGAAGGGCAAAAGGGAGGGGTGAGGAGGAGGAGAAGGAATGGAAGAAGGGGGGGATGGGGAGGATGGGATAGGGGAGGGGAGAATGGGGGGTAATTAGGTTCGGTCTGAGGAAGAAGACCGACAGGGCTAATTCCTCAGACCAAGAGCCTCTTCACCACGCCAAGGAGCCCCCCTTGAAGAGGAAGTTTAGATTGAGATATGAAATAGGAAATTGTTAGTGTGGAAATAGAGTAGTAGATGAGTTGAAGCGTCTGCCCAGTAGGGTTATCGAAGCTTAAACTTTGGGTAGCTTCAAATTTAGGTTGGATAAAAGCATGAGTGAGGGGTTGGATTTAAGTGAGACTTGCACATGAGTTAAAAGGGTTATCAAAGGTTATTGCCTGGGTAGCATTGAAAATAGGTTGGGCAAATACTTTTGTTTAATGGGTTTAGGCTTGAGAAGGACCTGTCAAGTATGGGCCAGTAAGTCTATAGCAGTGTTCTTTCATTCTTAGGATCCTAAAAGACTAGAATTCTACCAACAGATGTCGTACCTGTTAGCAGACTCCAGCCCCCAGGAACAGCCTACCATGGTTCAGGAGGCCTACTGGGACTCTACACTTCAGGCCCAGACCGAGCAGGCTGAACTCTGCACTGTGGCCTTCCAGCTTGCCAACCGGTTCATTCAACCGGAAGAAGTGAGTCAACTCCTATGTCCTTATGAAGTGTTATTAAACAATAATAACAATAATAACTTTATTTATTAAAAAAAATAAATGGCACATGAAATAGCATTAGTATAAAAAAACAGTAATAGTAGTAGTTGCAGTAGTAGTAGTAGCACCAGTAGCAGTAGTAGTAGGTATAGCAGAAAAAATAGCAGTAGTAGTAGTAGTAGTGGTAATTGTAACTGTAGTAGTAAGTAGCAGTAGTAGTAACAGTGGCATTGGTAGCAGTACTAATAGTAATAGAAGAAGTAGTAGCAGTAGTGTCAGTATAGTAGTTGTAGTCGCAGTAGTAGTAGTAACAGTAATAGTAGTGGCAGTAGAAGTAATAATACTAATTGTATTAGTAGGAAAAGTAGTGGCAGTAGTAATAGTTTTAGTGCTATTAATTGTAGTTGTAGTAAAAGTATTAGTAGAAGCAGTAGAAATAATAGTTGCTGCAGCAGTAGTAGTAGTAATTGTAGTAGTATCAGCAGCAACAATAAAAGTTGTAATAATGGAAATTTTAGCAGCAGCAATATTAAGTGTAGCAGCAGCAGCAGCAAAAGTAGTAGTACAAGTTGCGATACTAGTAACTGTAGAATCTATTTAAGTATAAATTATAACTATATTTTTCAGGTATAGGAGAGTCATGGAACACCTGGTACAATCACAGTGAAGGAACACTTGTTACTATCACAGTGAAGGAACATCTGGTACTATCATAGTGAAGGAACATCTGGTACTATCACAGTGATGGAACACCTACTACTATCACAGTGAAGGAACATCTGGTATTATCACAGTAAAGGAACACCTGTTACAATCACATTGATGGAACACCTGGTACTATCACAGTGAAGGAACGCCTGGTACTATCACAGTGATGGAACACCTGGCACTATCACAGTGAAGGAACACCTGGTATTATAATATTGATGGAACACCTGGTACTATCAAAGTGAAGGAACACCTGGTGCTATTACAGTCATGGAACACATGGTGCTATCACAGTGATTGAACGTCTGGTGCTATCACAATGAAGGTACTATCATAGTGAATGAACATTTGGTACTCTCACATTGAAAGAACACCTGGTACTATCACAGTGATGAAACACTTGGTACTATCACAGTTAAGGAACACCTGGTACTATCACAATGATGGAACACCTGGTACTATCACACTGAAGGAACACCTTGTACTATCACAGTGAACGAACACCTGGTACTATCACAGTCATGGAACACCTGGTACTATCACAGTGAAAGAACGCCTGGTACTATCACAGTGAAGGAACACCTGGTTCTATCAGTGATCGAACACCTGGTACTATCACAGTGAAGAAACACCTGGTGCTATCACAGTGATGGAACACCTGGTACTATCACAGTGATGGAACACTTTGTACTATCACAGTGATGGAACACCTGGTACTATCACAGTGAAGGAACACCTGGTTCTCTCACAGTGATGGAACACCTGGTACCATCACAGTGATGGAACACCTGGTACTATCACAGTCATGGAACACCTGGTGCCATCACAGTGAAGAACACCTGGAGCTATCACAGTGATGGAACACCTGGTTCATTCACAGTGATTGAACAACTGGTTGTATCACAGTGATGAAACACGGTTCTAGCACAGTGAAGGAACACCTGGTTCTACCACAGTAATGGAACAGTGTACCACAGACACCTGTCTGCTTGTTAACGACCTTCCAGCTTAATTCTAACTAGCCATGCAAGAGTTCAACGACGAGATTTTAATTTTTCTATTTGTGAAGTGGTTAGCCAGTGGAAGGCCTCAGTCAGATGACCACAAACTGAAGTGTCAAGGCATCATATGACAGACTAGCGTTAGAAAACACTTGTTCTTTTTCCTGACAACTTAACCTAAGGTATCAACCCACACTCAAGGCTCTGTTCTTTTGTTCGAATGCGTTCTAATGTATTCAAAAGTGTTCGAAAGTGTTCGAATGTGTGAATGAACAGTGCCTTAAAGAACAGTCTTCCCGCCTGGTTGTTCTCCCTAATAATAATTTCAGCAATGTCTTTGTGTCACATTAAATATTTGTATTGTTTTTAGTGTTTTTCTATACGCATATAAACCCAGGTAAGTATAATGAATAATGATAAATGAGGCACTTGAGACGCATTTGGGCAACATTTTGGGCAACATTTTCCAGAATAAAGGTACCCAAATGTTACAACCGTTTCTCATTTATCATCTTGTCGGTTTTCTAAATCATTTATTCAAAGATTAAGTATTGCTTCACCAATGACGATTAAACTCTACTTAAAGCAAGGCGAACTCTATTCACTCTGTTGAGTCAGTGTTGATCTAATCCTTGTTCTGCCTATGCAGTCTTTCTTTTTTTTTGTCAGTCTCTCCTAATGACTGTAAACTTACTGTGGTAATTTACTACAAAAATCATCAACTAGAGAAGGAAAAACAATTATGAGGCCTATCTTGGGTTAAACCAGATTTTCTGAGGGATTTTGTGGTTTCTCAGAGATCGGAAAAAGATGTCCCTGTATTCCTTTACCTACCCCCCCTCTACCTTAACTCTAGGAAAGTCTCCCTGTATCTCTTTACCCTAGCCTCCTCTACCTCAGTGACCCAAGAGAGGTATTGTACTATTCCATAATGTAGGATTCCTCTACTTAAATGCATTGAAAAGGATTGGTACAGTGTGTAATGTAACTTTCTAATGCAGGTAAATGTTAGTACTGAAGATTTAAAGCAAATCAGATGAAGGTGTCAAGTTATCGAGTGGAAATGTGTCATTTTCCATAAATTTAAACCAGATCTAACTTTCCACTCAGTCCCCAGCTTTGAGATTTTAAAGCAAATTAGAATAAAACTTAGGTAAACGCATACAGGAAATAACTTATGACGACGTTACGGTTCTTCATGGATTATTAACTAGTGACAGATGTACAAAGGGAAGGCGGCCAGAAGGGCCGAAGACGGGCTGGGCTTCTCTTTAATTATGAAAATATTTCCCCAAACCCAGTGGCTTCCTCAGTCTAATTTCTTCGACAAAATTTTGAAAAAAGCACCAACAAAAGCTAACATGTAATCAATATATTCAGTTAAAAAGAAATGCAAAAGGGAATAAGAAAAACAAAAGGAGATCATGAGGTCAAAGTCGCAAGGGATTCGAAAATTAACCCAAAAGGTTTCTTTCAGTTATATAAAAGTAAGATTAAGGGAAAAATTTAATAGGCCTACTCAAAAGTTACTCTGGTCAGCTCACTGACATTGATGAAGAAATGTGTAGAATTTTCAACCCTATTGAAATTCCAGAAATAAATTGTGTAGCACAGGACTTAAAACAGTTACACACCATCCAAGTCACTAGTGACATGTTTCTCAAACAAATTGATAAATTAAAACCTAACAAATCCCATGTCCCTGATGAACTGTTCAAAAGAGGTTTTAAAGAAATGCGAGGAGGAACTTTGGCTAGTCTTTTGAACATATGACTACCAACTGTCAGTGCCAGTAAGTGGAAAATAGCAAATGTGATACCTATCTACAAAGCAGGAAACAGTTTCGAGCTATAGACCATTTTTTTTTTTTTTTATATTTTATTGAAAAACGCAATACATAGTTATACATGTAGACAATATAAGCAATGAAACGTATCCATTATATATAACAAAAGAAAACTCCACATTCCCTACCGTAGCACTAAACTTATACATGAGAACTAAACTAAGACAGCCCACAGCTTCATATACAGGTGGGTTTATTACATCCAAAATTGCAGCCATAAACACAATATGCAATATAACCCAAAGAATGTCACAGGTATTGACATTTTCATAAAATTGTATGTACGAAGACATTTCAATTTTATCCAAAAATTTTTCCCACACTTATTTTTTTGTATATTAAACTTCATATCAATACATAATATCGTAACACCTCAATAATTACAAAACAAATAAAGGTTTGAAAATAATCTCCAACCTCACCACAGAAAAACTAAAACCAGTACAATATAACAAATGATTCATCCCACCTCATTCCATACACTACATTCACCCCCACCTCACGTCCATACACTACATTCATCACCACAAGCAAAATACACAATCACGTATATTAGAAATATTTTTCAAATTTTAATTTCCAGTTTTAAATAAAACTTCTTCTACTTATAATGAAATTACATGTCATTACTATTAAACATTAAATTTTAAACAAGACTATATTCTTATTCTACAGCCCTCAGCAGTTCTTGCCTCACCATCCTAACCCTACTTGACACATTGTACATCAACAACATCCTTATTACCCAACACTCGTAAATTAAATATTCATTGAACTTCACCAAATACCAATATAAACCCATCTGAGTACATGAAATTCTCTCTTACATATGCTATATACACTTGATGTATGAAAAAAATCACACACATTACATTATCTCATTATTGCAGTACATTTGGTACACAGACAATTTATCACGCCCGCATGTCCTTTGCTTTAAATACAACCACCAATCCTGATAATACATTACAAACATATTCCAAATTTAACTTACCCTTTAACATACATCAGTATACCATTCTGAGTATGACAGTATACTTTTCACATGCACCCCAAATATTGTCATTTCCATAACCATATAAAAAACGTAACTTTTCCTTACAAACCACCACAAAATTTACTTAAACACACTCCACAACTACGCTGCCTTTTCACACCATATCACGGAACTCCTCATACATTCCCAAATTCTGAGACGAGCCCGATGCAACCCCTGAAAATCCGAACACATCCCCCCCCCCCTTTTTTTTTTTTTTTTTTTTTTTTTTTTTTTTTTTTTTTTTTTTTTTTTTTTTTTTTTTTTTTTTTTTTCCCCTTTTACTCACGCCAACAACCTCTGACATTCATACTTCGATATCCTTCAGGAAAAACCCTTTCCATCTACTTCCATATATCCCCTATTACGACTAAGTGTTTTGTACATTGTTGCAGCCAATACCTTCTTTCGCACCATCCAATCCCCATTTCCCCCTCATGGCCCATGATAAAAAAACAAAATCAGTTATATGTACACCAAAGCACGCTGCACAGACTCTTCCACACCTCCCACATCTAAACTCAATGCCCTTAATACCGATATCCCTCCCCACCCACCCTCCTCAAAATCCCACCATCCACTCCCGTTTACACCCCAAAATTTTTACAAAAATATACTACATGAAAAGCTGTCCCCCTTTCCCCCACACACCTACATACGTCCTCCCCCATCAACCCTCTCTCCCGAAGCACCACACCAGACGGCAATATTCCATGAAGGAACGAAACATTCCCTCTCTCACTCTTGGTCTGATGCGCACCAACCGCAACCGTCCCCAAATGTTCCCCATGCATACATTGGGTATATGCCCTCAAATTGCAATCACCCTCACCCCTACAGGCACGCTCCAGCACACCTACCCGTATCCTAGACGGATTTCTAACATACAATAAAGCTCGCAGCACTTTCCTCACACTCTCTCATCTCTGATCCTACCACCACCTGGTGCTCCTCATATAATGCTTGCCGCCCTTCCCACACGACCTTCCACTCGGAGAACCCCCCTCTTCAAATATATACACTTAACCCTTAATCTTATATCTATTAAACCCAATCCACCTTTGTCGACGGTAGCATAACAACACTTCTACCAACCAATCACACCCAGAACCCCATATATATCGAAAAACCTTTTTTAGCATTCTATTAATGTCCGGTCCTGCCAACGGATATACTGCTGCCACATGCCAAAGACCATACTATATAACATCACATTCACCACTATTACACGTTGATGTATCGTCAAATGC